GCCCCAAAGAGGCCCCAAGAACCCCCCAAGAGGCCCCCAAGACGTTCCAAGAGGCGCCCAAGAAGCCACAAAGAGGCCCCAAAACGGCTCCCAAGAGCCTTCGAAACTGCTCCAAGAAGCCCGCAAGAAGCCCCCCCGCAAGATCCCAACGGACATCCCTGAACACACCGGTTTTTCGGGTCGCGCCCAGCCCCATAACCCGGAGCCTCATCTCAGTGTCCCCGTCCTCCTCCTCTTCCTCCTCCTCCTCCTCCTCCTACATTTCCTCCTCGTTCCCCTCCTCCTCTTCCTGCCCCGCTTCAGCTCATCCTTACCGATGTTTCTCCCCCCCATTTTCCGCCTCACCCCCCATCCTCCTCTTCCCGTCCTCCCTTTCTGCCCAGTACGCGCAACCGATCGGGCATCATTTGCACGTCTTGCATTTTAGGGTGCCCTTCTTTGCGTCGCGCGGGACATTGCGAGGGTCGGGGAACGCCGACTTTGGTAGTCCTCTCTTGCACGCGCCGCTGCACTGATAAGCCTGGCAACTGCGCGCTGTGAACCCGAGTTCCTCGCAGCTTCTGCACACCAGTTTAGCTCCTTTCGCCGCTCGATGATGTTCCACTTGCTTCTGCTTCAAATGTTTCGTGTCCGAGAACGCGCCTTTGCACGCCGCGCACGTCAGCGTCTTCGCGTCCGCCTCTGCTTTCCGCTTGCGATTCTCTGCATCCGCCTTCTCGTTCCGCCCACCCTTCTCGTTGCGGGCGCACGCCCTGCAAAGCCTCTCCCCCGCATTTTTCGAGTCGTACTGGTTCGCCGCCACTTCCGCCTCCGTCTTCAAGAAATTCTTGCACTTCGCGCACCGAATCTGGACTTTCTCCTGAATCTGAGAGGCCTCTGAACCACAACTCAGGCACGGTGGCGGGATGGGCCGACTACTGGGAGGAGGAGCAAAGACGACGACGATAGGAACGCGGGGGATAAAGTCGGGCCATGACGCCCCCAAGACGTCCAAGATTGCCTCCAAAAAAAACAAGGGGTCGGCGGTGTGGCGTAAGCCTAAAGAATCATATAGTGATGACTGCACCACCCATCTCGCCACCCTCTCAGCGCAGCGCCCCCACGATTCCAAACTGTTAGCACAACGTCACCTCCTGTCCGTAGCAACTCCTGTCATTTGTCCCATGGTGGATCCCTGCCTGCACGTGGCACCGCATGAATACTTGCGAGGTGGTCCCCAAGTAGCTTGTGGCATGCTTTTGCATCATCTGTTGGTGTCCGTTTTCGCGCCTGGCGTGTCGGACCAGCCCAGCGACCACGGTACGGAGCCTCGTCCACCACTGGGCTTTGGCATCTCCGAGGTGAAGTTGTCGTGAGCCCTTGAAATGCCCGACAGTGCCTGCCTATAATGAGCGATGACAGAACGATCGGCCGCTGTGGCCCAAGAAGCGTACATAACTGATACTGTAGCGGAGTGCCTGGCCGGAGGAGCAGGGAAAGAAGCGTCAGCAGCAGGAGGGCGAACGAGGAGCAGCAGCAGTGGACGGAGGAGGGATGATGATGATGCTGATGCTGATGATGATGATGATGATGATGATGATGATGATGATGATGATGATGATGATGATGATGATGATGATGAAATTGATGACGACGACGATGATGACGATGACGATGACAATGACGATGCCGATGATGACGACGACGAGGATGATGATAATGATAATAATGATGCGGATGATGACCATAATGAGAATAATAATAAAAATGATCATGATGATGATGACGATGATGAGGATGATGATGATGGTGATGGTAATGGTATTGATGATGACGATGATTATGATGACGATGATGACGATGATGACGATGATGATGATGATGATGATGATGATGATGATGATGACGGGAATGATGATGGTGATGGTGATGGTGATGGTGATGACGAAGGTGATGAGTATGACGACGATGATCATCATTGTCATGATGATGCTGGTGGTGATGGTGATGATGACGATGACGAGGAGGAGGATGACGAGGAGGAGGGATCAGGAAGACGAGCGAGGGAGGAAAAGGGAAAGAGGCTTCGAAAAGGTCAGGGTGAGTGGGTGCGAGAGGGGGCGGGGGGACGGAAGTTCTGGTGCGTCGAGGGTAGGGTGGGCAGATGACGAGAAAGAAGAAAAATGAGGAGGACGAGGAGAGACGGACGGAAGGAAGTCTTGGAAGGAGCAGGGAGTTCTGAGCAGGGAGTTCTGAAGGGTCTCATGCGACTCCGCTTCACTGCGAGTGGCCTTCCGAAGAATGCACAAACCTTGGTGCATACGCTTACGAATGAATGGCCTCTCACCAGGAGCATGCATAGGCATACGCCTATGGCTATCAACATCAAAAGCACCAAAAACTGCGCGCTGAAACAACGCACCGCATACATCGGCATGAACATACCCATCGGTCGGAAAAAGTGAATAGAAGCATGAGGTAGGAACCCGTTGGAAATATATGGGATCGTAACCCGCAGAGCCCGCCCCCTGTTGCCGAAAGAAGACGGACAACCACCCGATCCTTGAACTAGGAAGGCACCTAGAGTATGTTTATTGAAGCCAGGGGTTCCAGAAATACGTATATTCAACGACCGATGGGCACATCCAACTAAAATGTTCAAAGCAATTAAATCTCAGCCAATTGGTCTGAGAACGATTGGGGTATGCGATGCAAGCCGAGCGGCGACATTTAGTCCGCCACTTCGCCAAGCTGACGGAGCCAACGTTCCCGAGCATGAGCACGCACGTAGCACCCCGCAGATGCAGACAAGAGCGAGGGGGCGGCGGGGACGTCGGCAATCTGCGAGACTTTGGAGAAGCCAGCCGCAGGCGCCAAAGTTTCACAAATTATAGAACGACGAGCCCGCCGCAAGCGCCAATGTTTTCGTTAAAACCTATGTGGGCAAATAGGTCACGGCTGGGTCGCGGGTGGGTCGCTGTTGGGTCGCGGGGGGGTCGCAAGTGGGTCGCGGGGTGGGTCGCGGGTGGGTCGCGGGTAGGTCGCGGGTGGGTCGCGGGTGGGACGCGGGTGAGTTGCGGGGTGGGCAACCCGACCCCAAAAGGGACGGACAGGGGACCGACCACGACGACGACGACGATGAGCGAAAGCGCGAGCAACAGCGGGGCCACGAAGGGCAGTGATGGGGCAACGGAAGGCAGCAATGAGGCCGCGAAGGGCGACAGCGGGGCCATAAAGGGCAGTGATGGGGCAACGGAAAACATATGGGGGCCGCGAAGGGCGACAGCGGGGCCACAAAGGGCAGCGGGGGGGAGGCACACGCGGCTACACTGGGGCCGCGAAGGGCAACAATGGGGCCACTGAGGGCACGAGTGGCTGGGGCCAGAAAGGGCGTATAGATGGGCCACAATGGGCAGCGAGGGGGCCACTGAGGGCAGCAGCGGGGCCACGAAGGGCGGCAATGGGGCCATTGAGGGCACGAGCTACTGGGGGCCACGAAGGGCGTGTGTATACCTATATATATATATATGTGTGTATATATATACATATATGTATGTATGTATATATATATATATATATATATATATATATATGTGTATATATGGGCCGCAAAGGGCAGCGAGGGGCCAATGAGGGCAGCATCGGGGCCACGAAGGGCAGCGATTGGGCCACAAGGGGGGGGCACGAAGGGCAACAATGAGGCACCAAAGGCGCGAGCGAGCATGGGGCACGAAGGGCATGACCATGACGTGCGGGCCGAACGGGCGGATCGACCGTGAGTTCTGCGCGATTAGCAAGGAAGTTTCCAGCGAGAGAGCGATTCCTGCATAAATTTGAGAAAGCCCCCAGCGAACGCGCAATTCCTGAATGGCAAGAGCGTGGCGCCTGAGTATATTGCGAGGAAGTCCCAGGCGGGAGAGCGATTCTTGAGTAAATTGCGAAGATTTCTCGAGCGGGAGCGGGGGACCTGAGTAAATGTCGAGGAACGATCGAGCGGGATCAGCTGTTGTTGCAAACCGGGGGACAAGGACACAATTTAAGGAGGAAGACTTCCCCTGATAAAAACAGGGTGCGAGCGCCGGGAGGGGCACTTCAATTGAAAAATTCAATGTGCACCGGAGGGGGGGGATCAACAATAATCAACAAAAGCAACAGGAACAGCAACAACAACAACAGCAGCAGCACCAGCAGCAACAACAACAACAACAACAACAACAACAACACCAACAACAACACCAACAACAACAACAACAACAACAACAACAACACCAACACCACCACCACCACCAACAGCAGCAGCAGCAGCAGCAGCAACAGCAACAACACCAACACCAACACCAACACCAACAACACCAACACCAACACCAACACCACCAACAACAACAACAACCACAACAACAACAACAACAACAACAACAGCAACAGCAACAGCAACAGCAACAACAACAACCACCACCACCACCACCAACAACAACAACAACAACAACAACAACAACAACAACAGTCATGCTACCCTCATGCGCGGTGTTTCTACACGAGGCATGCGACCATCACGATGACCATTCCCATCATGGGGGGCTATTGTTCTATAGCGGGGTCCGTTATTCCCATTCCCAAATCTTCCGCCCAATGAAGTCTTGCAAACACCTCCTCCGAGGAGTTTCAACAGATCCCGCCTCGAAAACGCATGCCCGCGCCTTGCTTCGCCGATGCGAGACCGCCAGTGGAGCCCCAGCCAAGGGTAAAGCATAGTGAGATATCGAGCGACAGGATTGTCTTGGTGGGGATGGGGGCTGCTGGCAGCAAGGCAAGGACGTGGCCCTGAATAGAATGGGAGGAAGTCTCGAGCAGGGCCGCTGTTGTTGCTGGGAGCGGCAGCAATGCTGACGAGAACAGGGCGCTAGTCCAGCGTAAAAAAAACGAAGCCTCGAGCGGGAGCGCGACGAGGAGGAACACTGCCTTGAGTACGAAGGGAGGAAATCTCGAGCGGAAGCCGTGGTTTTGTCGGGACGGGGGCTGTCGGCGGCGAGAAACAGCACCGTCCTGAGAAAAAAGGGAGGGAGCCTCGAGAGGGAGCGCTTCTTGCAGGGAGCGGCACCAATTCACAAGAGAGTAGGGCGCCAGTCCAGCGTAAAACGGGAGGAAGTCTCGGGCGGGAGCGCTGAGTTTGTCGGGACGGCGGTTTTCGGCGGCGAGGAGGAGCGCCGCCTTGAGTTGAAAAAAGGAGGAAGTCTCGAGCGGGAGCGTTGTTCTTGCTGGGGGCGGCGCCGATGAAAGAAAGAGTAGCGCGCCGGTCCAGGGCAAAACGGGAGGAAGTCTCGGGCGGGAACGCTGGTTTTGTTGGGACGGCGGCTTTCGGCGGCGAGCAAGAGCACCGGCCCTGAATGATTATCCCGGCAAAGCAACCTAACAGCGATGTGTATAAGCATATCTGGAAGCATTCCCCTTCAGATTCAGGTGAGGATCCAGTTGTAGAATTCTGCTGTTCTCGCAGTCGCAGTCACATTCGCAATGACAGTCGCAGTGGCAACGGCCTTAGGATCCAATGGAATCCTAAGGATTCCTAGGGATTCCTAAGGCATCCTTAGGCATCCTTAGGAACCCATAGGAATCCTCAGGAAACCTTAGGAATCCTTGGGAATCCTGATTCCTAGGGATTCCTAAGGATTCCTACGGATTCCTGAGGAATCCTAAGGATTCCTGAGGATGCTTAACTATGCCTACGGATTCCTAAGGATGCCTACGGATTCCTAAGGATTCCTAAGGATTCCTAGGGATTCCCAAGGATTCCTATGGATTCCTACGGATGCCTCAGCCTGCCTCAGTTTCAGCCTCAGCCTCAGCCTGCCTCGGCTTGCCTCAGCCTCAGCCTCAGCCTGCCTCGGCCTCAGCCTCAGCGTGCCTCAGCCTCAGCCTCAGCCTGCCTCGGCCTCAGCCTGCATCAGCCTCAGCCTCAGCCTGCCTCAGCCTCAGAATGCCTCAGCCTCAGCCTCAGCCTCAGCCTGCCTCGGCTTGCCTCAGCCTCAGCCTCAGCCTGCCTCGGCCTCAGCCTGCCTCTGCCTCAGCCTGCCTCAGCCTCCCCTCCTCCCCCTACTCCCCCTTCCCCGCCCCCCCCCCAGTCAGCCTCACCTTGTCTCAGCTTCGGCCTGCCTCGGCCTCATCCTCATCCTCATCCTCAGCCTCAGCCTCAGCCTGTCTCGGCCTGAGCCCGCCTCGGCCTCAGCCTCAGCCTCAGCCTCAGCCTCAGCCTGCATCAGCCTCAGCCTCAGTCTGTCTCGGCCTCAGCCTGCCTCGGCTTGCCTCGGCCTCAGCCTCAGCCTGCCTCGGCCTCAGCCTCAGCCTGCCTCAGCCTCAGCCTCGGCGTGCCTCAGCCTCAGCCTGCCTCAGTCTCAGCCTGCCTCAGCCGCAGCTTGCCTCAGCCTCAGCCTCAGCCTGCCTCGGCTTGCCTCAGCCTCAGCCTCAGCCTGCCTCGGCCTCAGCCTCAGCCTCAGCCTGCTTCAGCGTCAGCCTCTCAGCCTCAGCCTGCCTCGGCCTCAGCCTCAGCCTGCCTCGGCCTCAGCCTGCCTCAGCCTCAGCCTCAGCCTGCCTCAGTCTCAGCCTGCCTCAGCCTCAGCCTGCCTCTGCCTCAGCCTCAGCCTGCCTCGGCCTCAGCCTGCGTGCCTCAGCCTCAGCCTCAGCCTCAGCCTCACCTCAACCTGCCTCGCCTCAGCCTGCGTCAGCCTCCGCCTCAGTCTGTCTCGGCCTCAGCCTTGCCTCGGCCTCAGCCTCGGTCAGGTCCTCAGCCTCAGCCTGCCTCGGCCTCAGCCTCAGCCTGCCTCGGCCTCAGCCTGCCTCAGCCTCAGCCTGCCTCAGCCTCAGCCTCAGCCTCTCAGCCTGCCTCAGCCTCAGCCTGCCTGCCTCAGCCTCAGCCTCAGCCTCAGCCTCGCCTCAGCCTCAGCCTGCCTCAGCCTCAGCCTCAGCCTCAGCCTGCGGCCTCAGCCTCAGCCTGCCTCAGCCTCAGCCTCAGCCTCAGCCTCAGCCTGCCTCGGCGTGCTTCAGCCTCAGCCTCAGCCTGCCTCGGCCTCAGCCTGCCTCGGCCTCAGCCTGCCTCAGCTCGGGCATTCAAAATATGGCACAGGACTGGTGCTCTGGGAACACGAAGATCACGAAGTGGCCCACAATTGGCTCTGGTGTTCTGGGAACACGAAGAACACGAAATGGCCTACAGTTGGCTCCGGGCATTCAACATGTGGCCTGGGAATGGTGTCCTGGGAACACGAAGAACACGAAGTGGCATACAGTTGGCTCCGGGTGTTCAAAATGTGGCCTGGGAATGGTGTTCTTGGAACACGAAGTGGCCTACAATTGGCTCCGGGCATTCAAAATGTGGCCTGGGAATGGTGTTCTGGGAACACGAAGAACACGAAGTGGCCTACAGTTGGCTCCGGGCATTCAAAATGTGGCCTGGGAATGGTGTTCTGGGAATGGATTCCTAAGGACTCCTATGAATTCCTAAGGATTCCTGAGAATTCCTAAGGATTCCAAAGGACTCCTATGGCTGACCCTTTTGTCCGGATCTGTCCGGATCCCGCCCAGACCCGCCTTGGGCGTCAAGATGCTCTCCTTTGAGCCCACTAGAATCCTATCAGCAAAAGCTGTTAGGTAAAAAAGGAGGTCTCGAGCCGGAGCGCTGTTGTTGTTGGGGGGCCGGTTTTGGCGCCCCCCCAGCGTTCGAGCGTGTGCGTCATTTTCAATGAAAATGTAGCCAGCGCCGAGTCGAGAACGCCAAAGCGCCTGGGGGGGTCCAACAAATATCCTGGCGAAAGACCCAACAATACGCAGTTCTGAGAATTGCGTTGCGGGTGCCGCTTTCGGTTCGGTGGAGCTCCCTATGGGGCCACGAAGCGCGTGAGGTACGTGCCGTCATGGGTGGGGGAGACGCATGCGGGCGGTGCCACTGGGGCATTCGGTGGGGCACCCGATGGGCCACGATACGCTGTCCTGGGTGTAGCAGACGCATGTGGCCACCCCCATTGGGGCCGCAGGTGGAGCTCACTATGGGGCCACGAAACGCTGAAGTGGGTGTGGCGGACGCATATGGCCACCCCAACTGGGGCCTTGGGTGGAGTCCCCTATGGGGCCACGAAACGCTGTACTGGGTGTGGCCGACGCGCGTGGCCACTCCCAGTGGGGCTTTCGGTGGAGCTCCCTGTGGGGCCACGAAACGCTGCACAGAGTGTGGCGGACGCATATGGCCACCCCCACTGGGGCCTTGGGTGGAGCCCCCTTATGGGGCCACGAAGCGCTGTATTGGGTGTGGCGGGCGCATGTGGCCACTCCCCCTTGAAGCCTTAGGTGGAGCTCCCTATGGGGCCACGAAGCGCTGTGCTGGATGTGACGGACGCATGTGGCCACCCTCACTGGGCGTTATATCATCGTTCCGAAAGTTCCTTGTTTTTTGTCTCTTTGAATAGGGCTCGATGGAATTGTGTGCTCGCCTACGTCGCAGTTCTCTTGGCAACGGCCCCGGTGAGGCTGAGGGGCAAGATGCGTTGAAACCCACTACCCTATCTTGGGGCCATAGGGCCGCCCAAGCATCCTGTCTGGGTCGTCTGGAGGTGTTCCGTGTTTCCGAGGAAACTGTCGTTCCGCCTAAACCTGAACGCGCCTGCCGCACTCCGTATAATTTCGGCTCAAGGTTGATTTGCAGAGGATTCGGTGGCAACTGAACTGTCCCTGCTGTCACTTTGCTGTCGCGTTGCTGTCGCCTTGCGAATAAAACACATGATCGACCCACGAACCCGCAAAGGAATATAGAAATGTAACGCATGGCAACGTTTTCAATGACACCTGATTTGGGTGACGGGCAAATGCAATGCTGAGTGTATCGATCTTGATGTACCCTGCCGAGGGCTGTGCTGTGCTGCGCCGTGCTGAATGGGCCGCGATTGTGCTCTATAGCGTCGTGGATCGAGTCCTCCTTTGCATCCGAGTCCTGACCGAACTGATCTGGATCTTTAAGCTCGAGCTGCCTGAACACATAGTAGCTGCCCCAGAGCTAATTGACAGGGGGACATGCCAGGAGGACGCGTCGCGGAACGTCCCAAGGGACGCGCCAAGCGACGTGCCAGGGGACGTGCCATGGGGACGCACAGCGGGACGTGCCAAGGGGACGCGCTACAGAACGTGCTGGGGACAAGCGTTTCGCTCGAGACATCCTGTCAACATCCTCATGCTAAACATCCGCCTGAGCGACCTGGACACGTGAAAACAAGCGATTCGCTCAACACATCCTCAACGCATTCTCATGCTAGACATCCGTCTGGGCGAAGTGGATACGTGAAAACAAGTGGTTCGCTCGAGACATCCTCAACACAGCTTCATGTGAGACGTCCGCCTCGGTGACCTGGGCACGTGAAAACAAGCGTTTCGCTCGAGACGTTTTCAACACCTCCTCATTCTAGACATCCGCCTGGGCGACCTGCACTCGTGAAAGCAAACGTCTCGCTCGAGACATCCTCAACACATCTTCATATTAGACATCCGCCTGGGCGACCTGGACACGTGAAAACAAGAGTATCTCACGAGACATTCTCAACACATCCTCATGCTAGGCATCCGCCTGGGCGACCTGGACACGTGCAAACAAGCATCTCGATCGAGACTTCCTCAACACATCCTCATGCTACACATCCGCCTGGGCGACGAGGACGCGTGAAACCAAGCGTCTCGCTCGAGACATCCTCCACAAATATTGGCGCTAGACCTCTGCCTGGGCAACATGGAGGCGTGAAACCAAGCGTCTCGCTCGAGACATCCTCAAGACCTGGGCACGTCAAAACAAGCATTTCACTTGAGAGATCCTCTGAATTCTGGTCCCCAGGAGAGGACAATCTATAACACAAAACAACCGTTTCGCTCGAGACATCCTCAACAAACTCTGAAAAACAAGCGTTTCGCGAGAGACATCCTGAATTTCTAATTCGCCGGCCCTCTTCCCACTCGATATTTATCGCAAAAGAAATCCGCCGGCCCTCTTCCCGTCAGATCCGGGGGTAAACCTATCTTGACATGAGCGGGAAACGCGTGAAATCGAAGAGCCTGGCAAGAACGTGCACCAACATTGATGTCGCATGTCGCCTAGGCGCTCTTCCCGACCGTCCACAAGGGGTACCAGGTGGAGTTCACTACCCGCGCAAGTTCAGACGTGGCCCTCACCCGAACTCCCTGAAATATACCAGATAGGGTTCACTAGCCGCGCAAATTGAGACGTGGCGCTCACCCGAAACGTACGGAAATAATAAGATTCTGCAAGGAAAGATGAAAACGCGAAATACCGCGATATAAATGTACGTGCGACGATCTCTCCGATAGCACAGACTGAGACCGGATGGGCCGAACAGCTATAACATATGCGGACGGCGGGCGGGGGCTGATTCCCGCGGAGGATCAGGGCCAACTCCAGCTAGAGTTCACTCCCCGCCTGAGTTCAGCGACGCTACAAACTGACATGGGCAGCCAGCTCCACCTGGCACCCCGCGTTGAATCGGTGAGAGATGAACTCGCGCGGAGAGTGAGCTGAACCTGCTGTGGTGTAATCACCAGCGTAATGGTCTGCAGAGCGACCCTTAAAAATGTCGTACAACATCTACTTCAACCTCTCATCTTTTGGAGGATGTCTCAGGCGAAATCGACATTTTCGAAAATTCGAAGGTTTCGCCAGCGATTTCAATATCTCAATTTTTCGGAGGATGTCTCAGGCGAAAGGCTTATTTGTCAAACAAGAGGTCTTAAAGCAGCTTTTTCAACATCCTATTGTTTCGAGGATGTATTAGGCGAGAGCCCCATTTTTGCAGATCCGAAGATTCCGCGACCGATTTCAGTATCCCCACTTTGTGAGGATGTCTCAGGCGAAACCGTCATTTTTAATATAAGCATGATCGACCCACGAACCCGCAAAGGAATATAGAAATGTAACGCATGGCAACGTTTTCAAAGACACCTGATTGGGTGACGGGCAAGTGCAATGCTGATTGTATCGATCTTGATGTACCGTGCCGAGGGCTGTGCTGTGCTGCACCGTGCTGAATTGCGATGTGCCATGCCGCGGTTGTGCTCTATAGCGTCGTGGGTCGAGTCTTCCTTTGCACCCGAGTCCTGACCGAACTGATCTGGATCTTAAGCTCGAGCTGCCTGAGCACATAGTAGCTGCCGCAGAGCTAATGGACAGAGGAACATGCCAGGAGGACGCGCCGCGGAACGTCCCAAGGGACGCGCCAGGCGACGTGCCAGGGGACGTGCCATGGGGCCGCACCGCGGGACGTGCCAAGGGGACGCGCTACGGAACGTGCCAATGGATGTGCCACCAGATGTGCCAGGGGACGCGCCACGCGACGTGCCAGGGGGACTCGCCACAGGACGCCCCACGGAACGTGCCAAGGAACGTGCCAAGTTGCAATGCTGAGTGTATCGATCTTGATGTACCGTGCCGACATCTGTACTGTGCTGCGCCGTGCTGAATTGCGATGTGCCATGCCGCGATTGTGCTCTCTATAGCCTCGTAAATCGAGTCCTCCTTTGCATCCGAGTCCTGACCGAACTGATCTGGATCTTAAGCTCGAGCTGCCTGAACACATAGTAGCTGCCCCAGAGCTAATTGACAAGGGGACATGCCAGGAGGACGCGACGCGGAACGTCTCAAGGGACCCGCCAAGCGACGTGCCAAAGGACGTGCCATGGGGACGCACCGCGGGACGTGCCAAGGGGACGCGCTACGGAACGTGCTGGGGACAAGCGTTTCGCTCGAGACATCCTGCCAACATCCTCAGAATTCCTGCGCGCGGGACGCGGCACGCGCGAGACATCCTCGGAATTCTTGCGAGCGGGACGTGAAAACAAGCATTTCGCCTGAGACATCCTCTGTTTTTCTGGACCCCCACGAGGCCCCTCACGAGGCCCCCGCTCGAGACATCCCCCAATTTTGCAAAACCAGCGTTTCGCTCGAAACGCCTTCAACAAATTATGAAAGACACGCATTTCGCTCGAGACATCCTGCCAAAATTCAAGGAAATCCTGACAAACGAATTAATCGAGACATCCTCAAAATTCCTGCGCGCGGGACGCGGCATGCGCGAAACATCATCGGAATTCCTGCGCGCGGGGCGCTTTTCCGCGTCGCGGTCGGCTCTGCAAAACCAGCGTTTCGCTCGAGACATCCTCAACAAATTCTGAAAACAAGCGTTTCGCTCGAGACATCCCCAACTCTGCAAAACCAGCGTTTCGCTCGAGACATCCTCAACAAATTCTGAAAAACAAGCGTTTCGCCAAGGACATCCTCAAAAATAATTCCGCCGGCCCTACTCCCGCACGTAATTTATCGCAGAATAATTTCGCCGGCCCTACAGCTGTCGAAACCGGGGGGTGAACCATCTAAAAGAGAACCCTGGGCTCGAGCCCTTTCCGGAAAAAGCCTTAATCGATAGACTCCAACATATCCATTTTGTGAGGATGTCTCAGGCGAAATGGGGAACCTATCTTGACATGAGCGGGAAGCGCGTGAAATCGAAGAGCCTGACAAGTACGTGCACCAACATTGATGTCGCATGTCGCCTAGGAGATCTTCCCGACCGTCCACAAGGGGTACCAGGTGGAGTTCACTACCCGCGCAAGTTCAGACGTGGCCCTCACCCGAACTCCGTAAAATATGCCAGATAGGGTTCACTAGCCGCGCAAGTTGAGACGTGGCGCTCACCCGAAACGTACGGAAATAATAAGATTCTGCAAGGAAAGATGAAAACGCGAAATACCGCGATATAAATGTACGTGCAAGGATCTCTCCGATAGTACAGACTGAGACCGGATGAGCCGAACAGATATAACATATGTGGACGGCGGGCGGGGGCTGATTCCCGCGGAGCATCAGGGCCAACTCCAGCTAGAGCTCACTCCCCGCCTGAGTTCAGCGACGCTACTAACTGACATGGGCAGCCAGCTCCACCTGGCACCCCGCGTTGAATCGGTGAGAGATGAACTCGCGCGGAGAGTGAACTGAACCTGCTGTGGTGTAATCACCAGCGTAATGGTGTGCAGCCCCTGAAGCGATTCGGTCGAATCGCGGACGCTGGCGCGATGAGCCGAAGGCTATTAGTTACGTTTAAACAAAAGTATTGAACAAGCACTTAGTTTTTAATGAATCTGCCTTTTGGGCAATCCTGGAGATCCTTCGAGAGCGTCCCTTAAAGATTTCGTACAACATCTACTTCAACCTCTCATTTTTTGGAGGATGTCTCAGGCGAAATCGACATTTTCGAAAATCCGAAGGTTTCGCCAGCGATTTCAATATCTCAATTTTTCGGAGGATGTCTCAGGCGAAAGGCTCATTTGTCAAGCAAGAGGTCTTCAAGCAGCTTTTTCAACATCCTATTGTTTCGAGGATGTCTCAGGCGAGAGCCCCATTTTTGCAGATCCGAAGATTCCGCGACCGATTTCAATATCCCAATTTTGTGAGGATGTCTCAGGCGAATCCGTCATTTTTAATATAAAAAGCCTTAAACGATAGCCTCCAACATCTCCATTTTGTGAGGATGTCTTAGGCGAAATGGCCATTCTGGGGAATCCGCCTGGGGCTGACGGAGGAGCAACCCCGAGCCCTTCCCCCTCTGCACTCCCCCCAGTTGATAAAGATTTCCCTCCGGGTCTACACCAACGTCCATCGCGCGACTCTTCGAATCTAAGCGCGTTTCCCGTCATCCGCCTGGGGCTGACGGAGGAGCAACCCCGAGCCCTTCCCCCCTCAGCACTCCCCCCAGCTGATAAATATTTCCCTCCGGGTCTGCACCAACGTCCATCGCGCGACTCTTCGAGTCTAAGCGCGCTTCCCGTCACCTACTAAAAGAGAACCCTGGGCCTACGCCCTTTCCGGGAACTACGCAACCTGAGCGCGCCTGCCGCACTCCGCATCATGTCGGCCCAAGGTTGATTTGTAAAGGATTCGGGGACAACTGAACTGTCCCTGCTGTCGCTTTGCTGTCGCCTTGCTGTCGCCTTGCGAATAAAAAACTACGCATCGCCGCTCCGAAAGCTCCTTGAATTTTCTGAAGTGGGCCCGATGGCATTGTGTGCTCGCCTACGTCGCAGCCCTCTTGGCAACGGCCCCGATGGGGCTGAAGGGCAGGATGCGTTGAACCCGCCTACCCCCTAGAAGTCTAGCAAGAAATCCCCCTGGCGTGGTCTCGGCGGGATCCTTCCCATAATATAGTTTTAATCCAGCCAACCATAAATCCCACCCATGAAACATCGGGTCCGCATAAATCCCGCGGTGGGACCCAATCCAGCGAGTTTGCAGCATGACGTGTGCGGGTCGTCTTGAGATCATCTTGAAATTTCTTGGAATCATCTCCGGGTCCTCTGAAGACCATGGTGTTGTACTCTGGAAATGTTCCGGCCACCTTGGGGTCGCTCTGGGGCCACCGCGCCTAGTCTCCGGGGCATCGCTCACATCTTCGGCCATCTTGGATTTCGCCCAAGCCATTTCGACGCTGCGTCTGGATCCTGCAGGGGTCACGGGGTCTTCTTGGGGTCGCCCCGATGGCCATCTTCGTGCACGTGTGAGGCCGTCGTGGAACCATCTTGGGGCCGCCCACCAAGCATCCTGTCTGGGTCGTCTGGAGGTCTTCCGTGTTTCCGAAGGAACTTTCGCTACGCCCAAGTAGGTGGAGTTCCCTATGGGGCCACGAAACGCTATACTGGGTGTGGCGGACGCATGTGGCCACCCCCACTGGGGTCTTCCGTGGAGCTCCCAATGGGGCCACGAAGCGCTGTACTGGGTGTGGCGGACGCATGTGGCCACCCCCCCTGGGGCCTTAGGTGGAGCTCCTTATGGGGCCACGAAACGCTGTACTGGGTGTGGCGGACGCATGTGGCCCCCCCCCCCATTGGAGCCTTAGGTGGAGCTCCCTATGGGGCCACGAAGCGCCGTACTGGGTGTGGCGGTCGCATGTGGCCACCCGCACTGGGGCCTTGGGTGAAGCTCACTATGGGGCCACGAAGCGCTGTGCTGGGTGTGGTGGACGCATTTGGCCACCCCCCTTGGGGCCTCAGGTGGAGCTCCATGTAGGACCACGAAACGCTGTACTGGGCATGGCGGACGCATGTGGCCACCCCCACTGGGGCCTTACGTGGAGCTCCATATTGGGCGGCGAAGCGCTGTACTGGGTGGGCGAAACGCAGGGACGGTGAACCACAAAACCGAACCGCGAACCACAGAACCGAACCGACCGAGGGAAAACCGACGGAACCAGAACCCGTCAGAAACCCGACGTGAACCGAAACCAAACCGAACCGGAGGCGGTGGAACCGAGCCGGCCCGAACCGGGAACCGAACCTGGAACCGGTCGTGGAGGTGACCCTTGGGAACTGCCCGATGCGAGCGCCCACTCTTGCGCTAGGTCCATCCCACCCGCCCCCAACTCCTCCCCTGCGCCCCCGAGTTCCCTCGTCCTGTCTTGCTAATTGTCCAGGGCCGAACTGGGGACGGAAGGGCGGCGGACAAAAACTCGAATCGCATTTTTGGACGGTTCGAAAATGCGCTTTGGGCCTCCAGGGCCTCCAAGGCTGCTTTGGGGATGGCAGGGCGGCGGAAAAGCTCAAATCCTTTTTTGGGACGG